TTATAAATATTTTTTAAGGAAAGAGGTTACAACTTTTCTTACCAACAGACTGTTCTCTTTCTCTCATTGTTTGGTCTACGAACAATTTACTTTTCTTGGGAATGTTCAGTTTCATATTCTGAGCAGTTAAAACATTTTGAGGTAACTCTTGGGTCTCAAAAGTTGCTGTACGTTTCAATATTTTAATTATCAAAGCCCCAGCTATATAAAAAAAATGAATTCATTTAATAAAATGTAAATATATTCAATTTTTTCCTAAATGAATTAAACATCATACATCTTGTAACCATAACTAAACTATTATCTTCACGACCAAAATGACCAAATTTGATGGCAGTCACAACACCTTCTGTTGCTAATACATCAACTAGATATTTGTCTTGATAAAAATGAACAGTGCCATTGTTTAAAGCAATAGCAACTAAAGAAATGCCCATTTGATCTATGTGTAAACTTTCCATTGCAACAATACTTGATGGTAGTTTCAAAGACCAGAGACATTTTCCCTAAAAACAGAATAATATCAAACATTCAAATTTATAAATGAATATTAACAAGTTGAAGTTAAACTATTATTTAATTGATAAATGCTAAAAAGGATTGTTTAAAGTAAATTATAACTACAAATGATGAGTATATACATAATATTGCCATACATATAATAAAATATAACCTTGATCCTTTCTTAAAAAGTTTTTTGTAATGTAAATGTTTAAAAATATATTTTACAGAAAGCTTTCAAAATAATTAAAAATAATCATTGTAAAATTTAAGTTTTATCAGATAATAGATAATTATATGTTTGGATCCATAAATTCTAAAATTAATTGCAACATTTCTACTGAAAATCTATTAGAATTCCTATAAACTATATTTAACACCTCTCTAAAACATGGTTTTACTTACATGTCTAACTTGTAAGTCAAAATAATTTTGACAAACAAGAAGCCACACTATGAAGAATTTATTGATTTGATAACTAGAAACAGCTTAAAGAACCATACAATTTGATGATAGTATTAATTTACTCAATGAAACAAATGAAATTAAAGTATCACATTATTATGTTAGATCTTTATTATTTTATAACTATATTTATGGATACATAAACAGTTTTTTTCTCATATTTATCAAAAAGAAAGAAAATTATTATTATGTTTTGGTAGAAAAGTATGATTAAGTTAGGATTGAAGGATTCAATAAATGAATAAGGATATATATATATTTTGATAAATACAGTATATAAAAATTTTGTGTAATATCTTTACTTTTTTATGTAACTTTTCATATGAATATTTATTTTTATGATAAATTGAGAATACAGATTAGCATATTCATTTTTAGTTTATTTTTCACATCAAAGCCCTAGCTATATTTGCATTTCTATAACAATTTTTTATTTTATGACAAAATAATTGAAAAAATCAATCAGTTATCAATACTTTTACTTTAATTGCCAGTTAATATATCTTACTTTTATATCTATCTTCTATATCAATTCTAATAATGAGAAAACCAAATACAAAACAGAATTTGAAGAAATACTCATAATTTATTTTGAAACTTATATTTACGTTTAATTGTTGGAAATATTATGCTTATATTACATTATAATTTTCAAATAATAATAATAATTATTATTATTATAATAATAATATAATAAATTTTAATTATATAATAATAATAATTATCTCTCCCGTGGTCACCACCTGGTCGTGGTGGGAGAGCCCAGTAGTTTTACAGATCCATAGGGCAATGCAGGCTGGAGCACAAGCTCCTGGTAGGGACACCCATGCCAGTAAGGTCTATGGGGAGAAATGAAGCTAAGAGTGACCACACACCCACATTCTGTGGAGATAATCATTATGGTAGTAACCAGATCTAAGTATGATACCGGCTCGGACGTCGCCCGGGTTAACAAGGTCC